TTTGATGTTTTTTTTTGATTCTCTAAGTAAAGTTTATATTTTGTTGAAGGGGGGAAAAATTCATTAATACAAAGCACACTTTGAGGCTCATCGCGGTTCCTATTTGGCGTGCGTGCGGACATGTACAAAATGTGCCCTCCGAACACCTGCTTGACCTGCTTCCTTAGCCCAATACACTAGTAGTCAGGTTCATTTGTACGTGTATATTCGCTCTTTACATCATTAACAGCATTGATCCTGGAGAAATAATACTTCGTCTACTGAGGCGTAAATTCTATCTTCAAAATCGTACACACGTCAATCGATTGTTAGTTCATTCAAAACACATTTCCTGCTCTTCTGCACTACATATGTATACATAATTAAACGTTCATTCACACGAAAATTATCGATTTTCCCAAATCTCTACATTTCTCATTCGACTGAAAAAATTTATTTACAATTAGATTTTTGAATTAGTTTATACTTCAATTTTATTCTTAAAATAAAAATTTATTCTTGCTTCGCTTTGTCACAAAATTATTATTTTTTCTAAATCGGAATCATTGAATCTGAAGCCATCGGAAGCCATAGAGCGTTCTTCACCCTAATATGATCAGACTTTGATTCATTCACCTAGGCATTCAAGAAGAATTGATATTTGAGTAAAAAATATCTTTCTTAGTTTTTAATTTATTTAAACTCGAAATTAATTATCTTGATCTTTGCCCATTTCTTAAAAGTTTACTTACTCTTCACATATCTCCAAAACAAAGCAGAAAGCACATCTCAATAATCAATTTTTTTGACCAACATTCATAAAATATTTCCTACCCACAAAATTTCCACTGATACTAATTAAAAATTCGTGCCTATCGATTAATTTCGACGTCTCCTCTCGATATTCAACGAAATAAACCGTTAACTCAAGATTAGAAGCTTGTGCATGTCGATAATGGGGCCTGTTTAATAATCTACTGCCATCATTAATGGTAAAGTACTCCAAATTCTTGAGACGAATCATAAGAATGATTTTAAATTTAATTCTCTCCTTAATTCGTACACTGTGCTTTATCACTTCCAACGTATGCGAGATTCCCCAATGTTGTCGTAAATAATGTACAAGAGAATTGAGCCATTTGGTTTCGTAATTTATTGTTTCATTGTCAGCGACAATTACAGTCACTAATAAAACTGTTAGAATTGTTATACTTTTCATTGCTAGAGAGTTTTGTATCCGAAAAAAGACATGTGAAAACTGCACATGGTTGTTTTTTAAATGACATACGATAGTACAAACTTGGCCTTTGCGGAGGTCTAAAGCTATTTTTCTGTATTCCCATAGCAACATTTCCACAAAATGACAAAACAATGCAAATGAGGTAAATATCGATTTGAAAAATACTATTTTTTTACTGTTCGGGTTAGACATTTGGTCAGATTCTGTCTTTTGTCGGAGGATCGGAAAGGCTCATAGTAACAAAAGTAAATGAATTTGACTATGACTCTAGATTTGATTTTGATTTTAACATTGACCTTGTCTCTAACTTTGACCTCAATTTCTTTTTTAAAGTGATTTGAGTCAAAACACGAATGTCAAACTCAAAATCGAATCAAAAGTCAAAGTCAGATACTTCCTATTACCCCGGAGAAAAGTAAACAATTGGCAAAATTAGGTTTGGTGAAAATTTTGAGTAATAAAATGCAAACTTGGTTGCGTTACATTTAGTCGGATTGTTTATGATGTTAGCTGCACTAGGAAGAAATTGGCTTCATCCTTTTGAGATGATAAATGGCAAACTTTTTCGTTTTTAGATATCCCGGAGCGTATAGCAACATATCTAATTCCTCACTGGACACTTGATGAATCATTACGACAGGGCATCTATTTTTAGCAGAATCGAGTATCTTATATACGAAAAAAGCACCTCCGGGCTTCAGCCTACTACTCCTAGGGCGAGAGTATAAAATCTTATGCAAATAAACTATTCATCGTAACTATTCATCACAAACAGTGAGCAGACGAATTCCCAATGATGCTGCGAGAGAATAATCCTCGATTATTTACTTGTCTGGAAAAACCCTTTTATTCTTTTTAAATCTACTTGCGGATCAAATTATCATCCAAGTGTATAAATTTCTCTATATGTGACAGGGACCTACAGTTCAAAAAAATCAATTTTTTTTATTGATATTAAGTGATTATGATAGAGACAATTTTTTTCTATCAGAATCACTATAAATAATAAAAAATTGATTTTTTTGAAACCGTGGGTCCCTTTTAACTGCCCCTGTCATATTCATCAGCATTAATTTACTTAAAAGAAATCGGTCCTAAAATTCTTGGCCCCCCTTTCCTTTGAAGTGTGACGTAATATGTGGACATCCTAGAAATTGTCGAAATAAGTATTAACTAACTTACTACTGTCGTCATCAATCAATTTTACATCCTTTCGATATTTGACAACTAGATGGAAAATTTTCTGCAACGCCGGCGAAAATTAACAGCTGTGAGAAGACTATTTCTGTTTTTGTTAAAATTACTTCACAGAAAACCTTTTGCATCAAAGGAAAAATCTTGCCAGGAGGAGTGAGTAAATTGATTTGGAAATTTTTTTTTTTTTGGAAAAGCTGCAATTCCTATTATTACCAGTCCAAATCAAGTCAGAGAACTTTTTCGAAAATTATTCAAATTGATTGAAAGAAGAATTTTAGTTAAAAATTCTTGAAAATCATAATTTAATTGAAAAGATGAAAATAATTTTAAAAAAGTACAATATTCTTATAATATCAAATAATGATTTTATCACTCCGAGTGATGATTGATTTCTTCATGTTTTATAAATAATTAAAGATGGCCCAGTTATAATTTAAAAGAAGAATTATATAATTCTTTATAATTTATAATTATAAATTATATAATAATATTGTACATCTTCAAAATTATTTTCATCATTACACAAAAACCAACAAGAAATTTAATTTTCTCCCCTAAATTAAATTAATTAAATTAAACTTAAATCTGAATTAAGTCTAAGTTAGGACTTGAAATAATACTCTCAAGGTTAAAATTCAGTCAAAAATGTTTCTAATGTATACGGTTTTAGTGAAAAGTGTACTGAAAGTAAGATTTATTTTTTTACAGTGAAAGTAAAATGATTAATGACTCTAAGGGGCCATCCATAAACTACGTTACCAATTTAGGGGGGAGGGGGTCTAAAAAGTCTGAAAAATTGGTAACGTAGTTTACGGACAGCCCCTAAGAGTAACCGGATATTCAGGATATTCTTAGGATATCCGTAGGATACTAGTAATATTTAGGATGTCTTACAGATGGAGGATATTCTAAAACATCAGGTTATTTCATAAGTTTATCCTGAATATCTGCGGCTGCTTTTATGGAAACAGCACTATAAAGAAATGACGACAAAAAAGAATGACCTAAAGATCGTTCCTTTTAAAAGAAGGAAGCGAATAATATTGAATGGCTGAAGCAGTTGCTCGTCACTTCTATTTATAAATACATTGGCCGCTGTCTCGCGGATTCTATTCTATTTCCCTTGCATAGACAACTAAAAGCAATGTGCGCGGGAATCACGTTTACGAGTCTAGTACATCGTGGCATGTGACGACTTACATACGACTATGTGCATTCATTCGCGTTGTAAAATTACGCAACGCCATATGTATCCGTTTAGTATGTGTGTCAAAGACCACACACACACTTGACTACATCACTTTTTTCATTTTCTATTTACTTAATAATACAAATTCTATACCCTTCGGCAAATTATATTATACAATAGAAGAATTTGGATCAAGGAGTATTGTATTAATTTACGAGCGGCGTTTTCTTTCAATTCTTTCAATTGAGAGAAGCTGTATCTAAAGAATACGCTTGAGATTTATAGAGAACTGTTATGTTCTGTAATAGAGTTTAGGTTTACTTTATGGTAAAGATTACGTAAGTAAATGCGTAAGTACTATAACAGGAGTAAATATCAAGAAAGTTAAAGTTGTACTATGATTTTTTATTATTTCTTTTCAGTTATATTTGAAAGTCAGGACAGCATGGTATATTGGTATTCTTAAGGATGATGTAATAAAGTGTTAAACAAACTAAAATCCCTCAAAAGTTTCGTCCTTATGTAATTCGTTAGCGGTTTCCAGTGTTATTTATACAATTATTTCTTTGCAGAGCAAATACAAAATTCATACAAAAAACAGGTTCTGTATAATCTATGTGACAAAATTTGCATATTTAGTATTGCACCTTCGGCAAAAATGAATCATTTTCTTTGCACTTTCCTGTTTTTGAATTTCAAATCTTTCTGTTTTTAAACTTTTACACGATTGTGAAAGAGCTTTCGATCCTTTTTTCATAAGTTCATTTTTTATTATATGAAAATATTTCTTTATATAATTTATAATATAACTGATAATAACAGATATTAGTAATATCAGTAATTATTTAAAGAAGCAAAAAGAAAAAAATATTAATAGCAATTGTCTATTCTGTATAAAATAACGGAAGAATATGCAAAATTTGATCCGTAAAAATTCAATTAAGTATAAAAAGAGATTCGAAATAAATTGAAACCTTTTTGTTTTCGTTAACCTTTCAGAGTGTTTACATTTTTCAAAAACTACACCATAATCCCTACTATCTCTTGCGTAATCGGTAATCTCTTCCCCTTTATCTTTCCAATTATTTTTAGCTTTTAATGAACTCAGTCAGTGTTTAGATGTTGAGGGTATTCTGTGACATTTTTAACGTTTTAAAGGTTCTTCCGACACCTCTTGTTTTGAAAATAAAGAATTCATTTTTCATTTCCCCCACCAAAACAGAAAAACACGTGCGGTACGTTTATAATTGTTTTCTTTGCTACTGAACATCAATAACAATTATTAGGGTCTTCCAAGACGAATAAAAATTCGTGTCGAGATGGCGAATTTTGTCTGCCAGTTCGGTATCCGAAAATTAATTTTAAAAAAAGAAGAACATTGTAAATAGCACTTACCTTGCAGTTGATGAATAGTCGCTTGATACTCGGCAAGTTTCTCGTCCACATAATCCTGACTTTGACTGGCAATAATTTCTGCTGTACTGGGGCCTGATTCGTCCTCCTCTTGATTAGGTTCCAGTGGAACACCGACGTACTCGTATTCCCCCGGTCTGTACGGGGCAATTAGGTATTCGGGTGGTCCACAAGGTACTGGAGAAGTTGTTCCACTACCCACTGGGCTCTGTGCAATCACGATTCGTTCACTTTATTATTTTAGTAATAAGTTGTGTGCTTTATTGGGCATAGTAAAAGAATAATATTTGGCCCATATTATACTTTTCCACATTTGGGTCATAACTGCAATGCCCAACAGCATCTGAACTATCAGCAATATTGACAATATTGCTTCAAGGTTTACAATTTTGTTGATGTTGCTGAAAGTTTAGATGCTGTAAGGGACCCAGGTGGAAAAGTTAATGTTAATTTAACGACATTTTTTGGTCACTAATGTCAGATTATAACGTTAGCATAACGTTAGTCCAACGTTAGTACCATTAATAGCATTAGTCTAACGTTAACCTAAGGTTAGTAGCATTAGTCTAACGGTAGTCTAACGTTATTAACGTTAACTTTTCCACCTGGGAATGTAGTTTGTGATTCAATAATAATTGGATCAATTTCCACACGGGTCATCATTATTCAGCCCCTAATGCATAAGTAGTAGAATAATATAAGTAGTTTGAAAAAATATAGTTACCATCATTTGTGTGGGTATGTACGGCCTGGGTGCAGCGTTTCCTGAAGAAATGGACGAAGGCCAACGTGGTCTTGGACACTGAATAAAACCGGGCGATGGACAACCAAACACCGGCGACATTCCCGGTGAAATGGGCATCCCAATCGGAACCGGACTCATTGGATGATGCATCGATCCCAAATATGTCACTGGTGACATTGGACGAGCATGAGACAATGGAGTCGATGGAGCACGCGGTCGGTGTTGTTGTTGTTGTTGTTGTTGTGAACCTGGCGATTGAAATGGATGTGGCGACGAGGACATCGGACTGTATGGTGACGCAGGCCGAAAGGGACTCGGCGCACTTGGTCTCGCACTCCAATTCCCAGGTGCTCCATATCCCCCCGGTCCACCTCTCTGTGGATGCTGTGACATCTTCTACGAGTCAATCACTCCCGCATCGCCCATCACTGAAATTATTACATTGTTCACGTCTCTTCCAAATTAGGTCTAATCTCTAATCAGTAGTAACATTCTGCTAGTCTAGCCAATCACAATTAACCCAGTTCGCTCACCCTGAACGTTGAAAACAGTTCTGGAAGTTTATAATATTGAGAATCCCTACCAAAAATAAGGGAATCTGTCGAGAGAGAAAAATGGATCAGTGGTAGAAAAACGTTAATGTGACTCTGGGTCGCCTAATGACAGTGAATATATAATTCGTTTCTGTGGCTTTAGGCCAAATCCTCTATGGAAATAGGTGATACGTGTGTTCTAAAACGTATACGCATTGAATGTAACTGACAGCTACACCTGATATATACAAATTTGAATCACGCACTAAATTTAACATAATTCAATGTAGAAAATACCAAACTTTAAATAACTGTAGATTAGGGGCCAGTTACACCAAATCTGATTAAAAAGTTAATCAATAATTAGGGTCAGTTTCATCAACAAAGATCAAAAATTAATTTATGATCGGACCAGTTTAACCTACCCAGTTAATCAAAAATTAAATCCTTAACCGACCAATCGTGGGAGGTTAAAATGACTTTAATCATTGATTAACTTTTAATCGGAGTCGAACATAATAATTTTCGGACACCTTTAGGACACCTTTAGGACACCTTTAGGACACCTTTAGGACGTTCGTATGATATCCTGGAGTAACAATTGGATAAAGTGTCATATTTTTGAGTTGACGGATTTTCGATTTAAATGAGTCCGATGCTCCCAAAGATTTTTGTCCGGATACCGAGTGTAGGACGTTTAAATTTAGTCTAATTTCTATTTTTATTCAAGCGCCGCTACACACTCATATATTTATTAGAGTATAATGTACATATATTCTAAATGTCCCCAAAGAGGGATATTTCAGAAGTTGACACGATTATATTTACAGCCGCAAGAATGCCCTCTTTGTGGAAATTTGTATTTTACGACCCGCTTAATTCCTCCAGCAATTAATTATTTTTTTCCAAAACAAACTATCAAGTATGTTTCACTACATCTTCTAAATTATTATTATAACAATAATTGTAATTGTTATTATTATAATAATAATTGTAATAATAATAATTATTACTTTAGACCCTATAGAAGTTTATAATAATAATGACAATGGGAGAAAATGGTAAGTAAATAATCGTCGGGGTTAAGCAGCGCTTATGGCGATTAACGCTCTGATGGATGTAGCGCCCTTGACTTTTCTTGTTGACCGTGAATTTTTTTAATATTTAAAAATAAAATTTTTCGAATAAGAATAATTTGTATTCTCTAATATGGCTTTGCTCCTAATACGAAAATCTCTGTCGATTTTGATTTCAATTGCTTTTTTACCATCAATTAGTAATCGAACCATTTGGCTCGCCATTTGGTCATAAGGAAAAATAAAGATGAAAAATTTACCGATTTTTACTTGAAGCGGACAATTATTAACTTAGCTGGTACAACATGAAAAATGCTATCAAGAATATTTTTTTAAAGAAAATGAAAATTAAGAGCCTCAACTGAAGGTAAAATAATGGAAAAAGAAGAAAAAAGAAGAAGAAGAAAAGGAAGTACCGAAACTCACCTCCCAGAAATCGAAGTATTGAAATTATAAATCCAAGAAGTAAAACAATTTTCGTTCGATTTTTTGTAATTAAAGAATTGTCGAAGCACTTCTTCGGTACCCGCGGCGGACTCGAGGAGTAATTACCCCCCCTCAAAAAAAAAAAAAATAAATGCCAATAAAAAATGTTAAAAACCACTATCACATAAAATGATCAATGACCTATTAAAAATTTTTTTTCTCGATAGGAACCAGCCCACAACGAAGAACACGAAGAGACTAACTACTGGATCATTGGTCCAGGATGGGCGTCGTGACACAGGCGTCGGGACGCCACATTTATATTTAACTTTGGCATCACTCGACATTCGACTTCACGCACCTCTTTCTCCACCTCCAACATCTTTTTTGTCTCTTCTTTCATGATTTTCTCGAAAAATCATCTTCTTTTTCTCTCTCTCTCACTTTTTATTTTCTTTACCTCCCTTTTTGCTTTTATTCTATTTTTCTTTCATTCGTTTTAAAAGTTTGTTTGAAATATGTTTACAAGCGCATGCAACAGATCAAAGTAAAAACTTCCATTACCATTACTCGATGAGGTAACGATCTAAAGAGACGAGAATACTGTCAACGGGTTATATACTCATCGATAATTTTAATTTTTGGCCAAGAATTATTGCAGGGAATAATAAAAATTAAGGTCGTGATCTTAATTTTCTAATCTGTAAATTAATAATACTAAAAAATTAGGTGCAATGCTTTCAATATAATTTAAGGATTGGATCATTTTCGAAAAAGTATTCATTAAATAAGGAAGCTAGTAATTAAAAAAAGTTTTTGACACTAGGAAGCTAACTCCCTTAAAGTATTTTTAAAATTAATTTATACCTTTTCTTTAACAAGCTACTTAAATTTCTCTCTTCCGCTTCTGTACCATGTGTTTAATTTCCCAACTATAGTAGATCATCGTCAAACTTTGACATCCAAGATTTTGACCTTGTTTTTCGGCTCTGTAAACAGATTTTAAATAATTATTAACCTTAAAACTGCTACGTGCTGAAAAATCACGCTCAGTGCTACCCCCCGTCTGTCAGACCGCTATTCTTTTTTTTACGGCATTTTAGTAATTTATAATTTTCTACAGACAACCACTATTTTGATATAAAATTTTAATTATTTTGATTTTCAGCCTGTGAAGTGCTATCTGGCTACCTAAGAAGCTGGTTTTGTTTGTAATTTTTGATCATCTTGAGGGATGATAATTAATTAAGTTTCAAAAAAATTAATGAAAACTGATTTTAGTTTTAATTACGACAGAAACAATTAAAGAATTAAATAGAAACTTTCAATCAAGGTAAAGATAACTCAAAGATAATTTAAATGAAATCCGTTTGAAAAGAAATTGAATATTAAAGTAGAATTAATTTTGTTTGACGTGTTATAATAAAAGAACAATACAAACTTGTTTTTTGTTCGAGTTGAAAACTGTCCCTTCGTCTGATGAATAAATCCAACGCAATGGTGCTGACATTGTTATCAGGCCAATGGAAACGATTAATTGGTGTATACTATAAACGTTGTTCCTGAAGTCGTGCTCATACTTCAGTCCTAACTGGATAATGTGAACGTTCGGTCGCGCTAAGATGAATCAAAATACATTATCATTCTCCACTGTTACTTTTTTAATATTTTTCGCGAGTTTCACATTAATTGATTATGATGTTCATGCTGCCGGATCTATATGTGAGTGGGGGATATATTGTAATTTTTAATTACAGCTATAGAATAAAATTCTATACCTCAACATTGGATGAGTGTACCTATTTTTGATAGTGATTATTTTTTCTGATACAATGCTTTTGAATATATTCTAAATTGACTTTTCTTTAATCATACGACGATTTCTAGTCAAATTCTCATTTATGCTGGTCTTCAATTATAATTGAATCATGAATTTCGATAAGGGCTCAATTCTGAGAATCGTAAGTTAATCGCTCAAGTTGAGCCCTTTTTGAAATGCTTAAGGATGCCTTTTTTGCTTAAGGATATTTTTCAGCGGGTGTTATCAACTATCTTCAATTCATGAAAATGATTTAAAGAAATGTTTTTACATTTTTCGTATACTCTACGATAATTGACTGTCTATATATTGTATATCGAATTTATAATCTAATAGTAATAAAATTTTGATTTTCTTTTAATTGGAAGAAATTATAACGTAGATATTGAGTTGCATCGAATCTGAATAGTTAATGAGGAATGAAAAGCTAAGTGTCGATAATGCACGAAGCTTCCGCGCTAGTTCGTCTCACCACGACCTCCATTTGTCTTTCGTCATTATAATACACGAGATAAAATCACCGGTATAGACTAAAGCTTCAGACTACTGGCAAAGTACTCCAGTTAGGTATGGCCGTTTATCCACTTACGAACCCTATTCAAGTTTCAGCATCTCGTTTATACTCTTACTTATGTACCACTTCTTCTATTGTCTTTTACTTTCAACCATTTTCACAGTATTCTATCATTATTTTTTCGACCCTTTTTTTCGAATGACTGTAAATTACTGTCACCATTAAATTAAAAGACTTGTTTTCTTGCGCTATGCATCTTCTTAAATGTTCTTAAATGACTTCTTAATAAAGGAAAATTGTAGAAAATCTCCTGAGTACAAACGGAATATCGAGGTTTTAATCGTGTACATCAAACTACTAATTACTTCTGAGGTTCGTTCTTTCGCAATCATAAGTTTTATCATATGTTTAGATACACCGTTTTGGAACGACACATGGACTGACAAATTGAAACGAGATCTTCTTGTCAAATATGACAAATTCGCAAGACCTGCACATCACTTTAATTCAACTGTAGTCACTCTTGACATAGAAATCCATCATGTATCATTGGCAAGTTTTGTTTGCTTTTAAATTGAATAATTAATTATTACACGGAAAAGTTTTTGGTACATCAGACGTTCCTATCCCCACAGCATCTAAACTTGCAGATTTGCAGAAACATTGACAATATTGCTACAAGATTCAAAAATATTGAGGCTATGTTGTCAATGTTGCTGCAGGTTTATGGAGGTAGGTTAGTTGTTCTTAACTAAAGATTCATGTACTTAAATTTTTCCAGTATAATTTTATCATTGAAAATATAAAATCCAAAATTCAGGATAACAAGAAATGTTGAATTTCAGGACGATATGCAATCCGTTCTGTCTGTTCATTGCTTCCTCAGAATGGTAAGTTGCATGCATTGAAGTTAAATGATCATTTGGAAATTAACTCTTACTCACCGAAATTAAATTCATCTTAGGCCTGGAAGGATGAGAAATTGAAGTGGAATGCTTCGGATTATGGAGGACTGAAGCAGGCTCACTTGGGCATTCATGAAGTTTGGCAGCCTGACGTCGTTTTATATAACAGGTTAAATACTATTTTAGGTTAATAATAATTAACAGGTATCAAGTGGTACATGGAAATACTTATCTTAGTTTTTTTAGTGCGATGTTTGTGGATTTACTAGGTTTGAAGAAATTTTCATTTCAGTGTGGTCGTGAATGCAGTCGAACACTATGGAGACAGCCATTGCATTGTGGACGACGATGGAACAGTTTTTTGGGTTCCACCGGCTCAATTTCTTGCATTCTGCGATTTGGACCTACGACTCTGGCCCTTCGATACACAATCATGTTCTCTTAAATTGGGATCATGGACATATTCAGGCGATCAAATCGATTTACATCTTTTTAAGAAGCCTATGAAGGTGGAAAGTTGCTTTCTTCAATTTATACTGCACCTCGTATTAATGTATATCTCTTATATTACCGCATGCTCAAAACCTTTAAATATCTTAATGCAAGTTTTTCTACGTTTTACCCTCTCATCAAAGTATTTCCTTTTTTTTTTTTTTTTTTTCTTCTTAAATGACTTGAAGCTAGGCCAACTGTCAGAACACACACTCTTATATACCAACTAGTTTTGCGTTTCTACAGAACGACTTTTTGAGATTAGGAGTACTCGCATTTGCCTGGACCACCCGTCAATAGGTTTTCTCGCCAGAGAAGAGGGAAACTGTAGAAAACCTCTCCTGAGTACAACCGGTTTATCGACAGCCGAGTTTTAACGGTGTGTACCGGACAATAATCGACGGTGCACATCATTATACTTCGACGTCAAACCTCCCGCTCAGATTATCTCACGTGCCGGAAAAATCCCAGGCTAATGGGCGCGAACCAAGTACCCTTGGTCCGCCCACCGAGCCAGGCAGTATTTCCTTTAGAAAAAGACATGAGTGAGAAATCTCGAATTTAAATCGAAAATAATCGAATGTACTCTCGCAGTTAGCAATGAAAATGAAACATAGAAGGGCACACTCACATTTCCAAATCTAAATGAAATATAGTACCTTAAAAACTCACACATAGTTAGAAGATGGAGCTGCAGTCGCTCTATTCAATATTATTAAGAAGTAGCAATTTTTATTTTAATTAACTTAACTTTGGAGAAAGTTGAAATTATAATCCTAATTTATATAAGGATGGCCAACTTGCATTCCTTATGGTGTAAAGAATCAAAAAGTACTTTTGATTGAGTCAATAAGATTTGACTAGTTAAAAATTTAGGGGGTTCCCTCAGGATTTACATTTATATAGCTAAATACTTGAGAATTTTTTCTTTGTGCTACTAATTGGTAGCTTTTGATGTTTATAATTTTCTTGAACGAAATTGAAATTTTAGCCAGACCTTCTGATTACGAATACAGAATGGAAATTGGAGGAGATGACTAGAGGGCGTACTGTCGTTCACTACGAATGCTGTCCGGAACCGTACGTGACACTGGTCTTCAATTTGACTTTGAAGAGAAATGCTCTACTTTACTACAACATCATTTTTACACCGACTATCCGTACGTAATCCTATCATGTTATTCGTTTTTTTATATAAGAAAATTACCATAAGGAATATACTAATTACCACTTTTAAAAATTTGTAATTTTTATTTATATTCAGCAATCGTTTTTCTCACTCTCATGGCCTTTTGGTTACCACCTCAAAGCGAGGTAAGAATAGCAGTAGCTGGATGTACGGCTCTGATAATCTCGATATTTTTAATCTACTTCGGCTTTAAAATACCACCGGTAGCTGAAAATTTGCCACTTATTGGTAAGATAAACTTAAATTATTTCCGTTTTCAAAATTTAATCCCTTTCAAACTCTTTTTACATATTGAAAAAATTTGTTTTCAGTAAGATTCTATAGTGGCAGTCTTTATCAAGTGACAATTTCTCTAATTATTTCAATAGTAGTTTTGAATTTATCAAAAAGAGCAAATTGTTCACCAATTCCAAGAGGAATCAGGAATTTCCTGATGGGATGGCCAGGATCTTACTTAGGACTCTCAGATCACATTAATGCGGTATTTTCCTAATTTTATCAATTATTCTAAAAAAACTTTCAATTCGTCACTACTTTCTAGATCAACACTGGAACTAACATTAAACAAAAAAAAAAAAAAAAATTTCAGATTCATCAGCACAGACCAAGTGGTTGTCAAGAATTAAGAGAGAGCCACGTTGGAGATGTTTCAGTCTCGAGTCTCTCATCAAATGGCTTTGACGATTGTGATCGAGAAAATATAATTACACCTGAAAAGAATGTCAATCAACTTGAGTGGATTTTATTAGCCACAGCACTTGACAGAATATCTTTTTTCGTTTTTTGTATTATATTCAGTATCATGGCATTAGCGTGCATTGCATAAAGTCTGTACTGAAAATTTACAATAAATACACCAAAAAAAATTCAAAAGATCTCATGACAACATTAGTTAAAGATTTGATGAATTTTCAAAGTATTCTTTTAAATTATCTTAACAATTTATTCTAATTTCGAAATATAGTTTTCAAGTGCAAAAACATCGAATCTTCATAATGTTGCTCACCGTTGAAATTACAAAACATTAAATTAGATAATGATTATTAAAAGATGTAATGTAGAATAATGTTTAAACAGCTAACGAGAGGCGAATAAAATTGAAAATATCATTTCTTTGTATAAAACACATTTATTTATGTACTCTATTTTATTGTTTTATTGTGATTCAATAAATATAACATACGTTAATAAAAAACGTTTCATAAAAAAAAATCCAGAAGGAAATTACAAAAACTGGTTCGGAATCACTTTGTTTGTTAAGGAAAAATATTAGAACTTCAGTCTTAAAAACAAACCCAACAGAAATGAATACAAAACTATGTTGTATTTCTATAGCAAAATATATCTTCAGGATATCCTTATCCTGAGGGTGGCTTAACTTTTTCTTTTGTTAAACTTAACTATAAAGTACTTGTGGAAGAGCGTCAGTATTACAAAGCTTTCATAAAATAAGATTATTTCTACATATAACAATTTTTACATATAGAAGAATGTTACCTTTAATATAAACTTTTTGGACGTAAGCGTTATTTTATTGAAAAGTTGTAAGGCAATCATCAATAGTTTCTTTCTCTTCATTATGATGAAGATAATTTCTATCATTTTTTTCTTGTTGTTGTTGAAAAACAAACCTCTAGTCATTGTACTTAATGGCTAATTGATTTAAAGCCAAATCTCCACTTATTCGTAAAGTGTCGACTATCGTTGGCTTCATTCGATGCTTAAATTCGCCAATCATTTTACTTCCCAACCAGATTGTATAGGATTCAAATTCAACTCGTATCCTTAAATAGAAAAAATACAAAGATTTTACATTTTCCGGCAAATTAATTATCATTAATTGTCATTAATTATCATTATAATTTAAATTCAATTAACTATCATTGCGTGCTGTAGAACCACTAAATAAGTGTAACAATTACGTGAGTAAGAAGTCGCGTCCAGGACCCCAGGAAAGGAAACCTTCGTGTCTTTCTTCATTGGACCATTTTCCTTCTGTCCAGCAATTTATAACGACACATGCTGGAGCATTGCCATAATGAAATCTCGGATTAATATGCAATGCAATTTCCGGATGCGGATAGATCAAGTTCCCTCTCTGCAAATTCACGTAGAACCTACAATTATTTCAGTTGAAATATACCGCGCGTCCCCTTGAAATTTAGTGTTAATTAGCAATTTTCACTATGTCGATTTTAAGAATTATGTACTGATTGGGGCATTCACTCTGGCTCAGCAGGAAGGTTCCTGAGAAACAAAATTTTAAGGTTATGTTTATATTATTTTCAATTATTTTTCTCTTGTGTATAAACATGACAATTTCATAACAAATTTTTTTGTATATTGACATAATACATGTGACAATAATGAAACTTTAGGATGTAATCAAGACTTAACATCAATGGTTTTATATTTTGAGTTTGTGTTTGAGTTTTCATTCTAAAAATCCTAAAAATTAAAAACATAACCTTAAATTTTTTGCTTCTTCTTTCTTCGGAGCGCGTCACATATTTTTACCCGCACGTCAGCAAAAGTTTTCTAAAAGTTGAAATTAACTTGACGCATAATCTTAGGAATCTTTAGTTCCGAAGCTCATTAAAGTTCAAGTTCTTTAAATTTCGACTGTTTTTCATTATATTTCTTCAACTCTTTCTTTCTCTTTCTTCAATGCTGAGTCAACTTTTACGTCAAACATTAAATAACATTGGGCATTTAAAAAACAACTTCAAGTTTCATGAGCTTCGCAACTAAAGATTCCGAAAGTTGCAGTCAAATTAACTTCAACTTTAAGGAAATTTTCGGTGCTGTATGAGGAAAATACTTATACTAAAACGTATGTTAAGAATAAAAAAGCGAACCGAAAGCATAAAAATCAAATTATAGAAATAGAGGAAAATTATTTCTAAATACTCACGAATAAGGGAGTAATTTCAATCTTCCCTGGATGAACAATCGGGCACCAAATTTTAGGCCTTTCTTCACATTAATATTCACTGGTACTTCCTAATTGAAAAGGGAAAAATAACATAGAAATTAATCAAAATTATAACTAACCTCGAAATTATTACTTAACGCGATTATTACTTACGAGGTTGTTACAGAGTAATTCTTCATCCGTTAATTCTAGTGATCTTGTAGGTTTGCATATTTTCGGATCAGGATAGATGTCAAGAAGAATTTGCCTCGCCTTTATGTCTTCAATGTCTCCATCAACTTCCAGACAGACTACTTCTGACAATGGCATTCTGTAGTGAAACGAACAAAAATGTTCTCCATTAATTGCTATCTGAAAAAATTCATTTTTTATCCTCTTTAAAGTCAAAAACTTTCCTGGTAAATTTTTTGACAGTCGATAGTTTATCGACAATATCAACAGCACTGTGAATAACTTAATTTTTACATGAGAGAGAAAAGGATAAAAATATCTTCGGTCCTTTTCTGGAAAAAGACAAACGCTACATCTATCCTTCTTTCTCTTATGCAAAAATGAAGATATATAAAATTTAGAGGTTACATTCCATACAGGCGCTTATAAACAAAAGGAGTTGAGTTCTAATTTAACAAACCTGGAAGTCATAAGGAGCACAAAAAATCATAAGATGAAAGTACTCATTTCTTTGAAAAATATAACCATTCGACAAGCGTGGCGAGCATGTTTCTTCCTTCTGCCAATGACCCTTTACTCTCGTGTTTCTTACGACATAACCACGATCCAGCCGTGGATTAAAATGAAGCGCTATGTTTCCATGATTTCTGCATGTTAAATTAATTGCAAATCTGCAAAATAATATAAATTATTTTAAAGATCAACTATCGTCTCTTAATTATACGGTTTACTATACAAGGATTAATTAAAAAATTAAAAAATAAGTGTTATCTATTTTAGAAAAATTGAACACACCTCGAAGCTTTATGAGGAACATAACCAGTTACAATAATTGCATTTAAAGGTTTAAGTTCATTTAATTTTAACGGCACCGAAACACTCTGTAACCAAAAATATACACTTAACTGAAACAATTATTTGCGAAATTCCATTTTGTTTACAATTTTGGCAATTTTTCTTTCAAATTTTTCTTTAAAATTTTTTCCTAAGACAAATTCTATTTATTATTGAAAAAATAATTGCTCTTTTACGTATAAAACTGTCAAGGTGTTAATGACAATGCCAGGTTTCATCATGTATTAAAAACGTTAAAATTAAAAAATGCATTAATCTAATTTTACTTTTGACTCTCATGTTGTTTGACAATAATTTTTTATTGGTTAACTTTTTAACAAAGAAATTTACTGTTTACAATTTATTTTTTTGTTTTCTATTTATCAAAGTGGCGGCATTGTTCTGCGGCCATAAAACGTTTAGAAAATTGACATTATGGAATCACCTTTATAATTTAGTTCATGATTTGCTCACTGAGGAGAGAGGCCGCTGGGGTCGCTGCAAGCAAAGCGACGCCAAAACTCGAGCAAATCGGCCATTTAATTTTCTCACCATTTCTCACACAATAACCTATTGATTGCTCATTGATTCTTGTGGAGTTTTTTTTGTTTGTATAAAATTCAAGTTAAATTATAGTAAATACAAGTGAATAGTAAAAATAATGAAGCCATTCTTGTAGCGAGGCTGACGAAAAATTCTACTAACTATAAGGTGAGTCTCTCTTGTAATTAGTTAACCAGATTTTAAGTTTTTTTATTCCTTTGTTCAAATGGTTCAAATCTTTGAATTATAACATAACGTGGAATTAATTTTAATCCTTGGATTACTTTCGAATCAATCAAATTGAGTAAATTTAGATGATTTAGATCAATTCCGTCAATTATTCTTGTGACTTTTCTTTAATCTCCTCTTTTTGAGGTTAGGTTTATTGTTTGAAAATGTAGTAAACAAGTAGAAACAATTACAATTATGAATAAATAATTCTAAATTCTTAATTACAATAATTTTCAACTATTTTTAAATTATTTACAAATAATTCATTGTTTAGATATTTAATATTGTCAACAACAATTAGTTTTTTTCTAGCAAACAAGTTTTGTTTCCTATAACAATTATCAATACTAAATTAGTATTTATAATTTAATATTTAACAATAATAATTAATTTTAATTTATTTAAAGGACCTTAATACTAATAATTGTAAATTAATATTGTAAATTGAATGTATAAAAATAACTATTTCTTAACAACAATTTTTAAATGACCTGAATTATAAATAATTCTCCCATCAACATTGAAATGTCTCATTACTCATAATGATATAATCTTGAACAATTGTTAATAACAAGAACAACTGTAGGTTAAATTCCCCTTAGAGAATTTTACATTTATTTAAACAACATTTCAATAATTTTATTATTTTATCATAATAATAATAATAATTATTATTATTATTATTATTATTATTATTATTATTATTATTGGTTTTATAAATAATAAATGTAATTTTTTAAAAATATATTATATAATTCTTATAAAATAATTAACTTTATTTAAATTTAATTGTTTTTATTTATAACATTATGATTTATTTTATTTTCTAAATAAATTTAAATTGAAACAGTAATATAAATTTATTTAAAATATAGAATAATATTATATTAATATTATAAATTGATTTTATATTAATAACATTAAAATTTATTTTATTATTTTAAATACTGTGACAACTTGAATGAAACATATTACGAAACAGTCCGAAATAATCCGAAATTACCCGAATTCTCAGTCTCTTTGTAGATTATGTTTAAAGAATGAAATATAATACATTGGGATTAGAAATGCATCATTTTTCACTCTATTATTGACTGTGAAAAATCATTCGAAAAGAAAACTCGTATACAAGTGATTTACGAATAAAGTTACTATTTGAAAAAGTCGAAAAAGTTTACATACCAAGGCCACTGTTTTATTGTCAGATAATCGAAAATCATCGAAAGCCTTCTGTCGATCAGTGTACATATTTTGTGACGACAAACACACCCGAGACATTTTCTATGTCTACTCTGCCCACACTGTTGCCTAACATTACCCCTGAAACTTCAAACCATTCTATATACCCGGTGATCGTATTTTTCTCTCCAATAAATATTAAGCCGGCAGAACATAATATAAAAGTAAATATAAAAATGACTCACTTTTATATTCGAAGTTTAACATAAATTTACAACACACAAATAAAACTTTTTCACTGATAACGATACAAATGTAATGTAAGATAAGAGTTTAATGTTTTCTATAAATAACCGAAACAACTAATTCAGTTAGTTTTTTATAGTTATAGTTTTTTATATTTAAAAAAAACAATTTTTTTATCAGAAATAAGGCTCTTCGTCCCTCCTCTTATTATCATAAATACAAAAATTTTCACAGGAATTCAATTATTTAAAACAAAATTCTTCAGATTTACAAAATTCTTTTGAATATTATTTTTAAAAAATATTCTTCACAACAATTTAATTATTTTCATAAATTTCCATGAAATTCTAAAAAAACAATTCAATTATTTTCAAATTTGTTGATAAAGTTGTTTGTAAAAATTGAAATTTAAGAAATATTCAATTATTCAGATAAATTATTTATTTTGTATTTGAATAATTGAATTCTCGTAGAACTTTCTAATAAGAATTGATTTAGAATTGAATAAAATAAAATGATTAAAGTTTTGAATAATTTTATTTATAAATGTTGAAGAAAAAAATGATTGAATTTTGAAAGAATTACTTTTGTAATTTTTAGAAATAAATATTATTTCCAGAGGAAGGCCAAAAAATGACAAAACGATTAATAACAACGTTTTTTATTTCACTAATTCGACATGTGCGATACACTAACAGTCAGATGATAATTTCGTAAAACCCATAAAGATAATTATTAAACACTAAATATTTTTTATTCCCTGTAACAATTAAAAAAAATCATTATACATTTTCTATTAAAATTATCCATTTATCTGCGTAAAGTCAATTCTGATATCGATACAAATAGAAAAACGTTTGAGCATTTAATTCTCATATATGTAAACGTTCAAAAATATGCTACTAAATGTCTATAATTAATCGGAGTATAATATAGAGAATGTATTTTTATTTTTGAATTTGGAAAATATTTCCAAATATATATATCGCTCTTTTTAGGCAAAGGAAAAAAATCATTTTCTCCTTATTAATATAAAAAAATGTATATTAATAAAGAAATATCCCTTAGCATCGAAAAAACTATGGGGTTTTTTTTAGAGATAAAAATGGCACTATTTTTACTTCGGAAGTTAAAGTAAGTTAAAAAGCAGTTTAAAAAAAGAAACTTTTTAATTTAAAAAAATTGTCTCAAAAAGGAATCGTTTCGATTACTTTTTTCGACACTCAGCATTGAAGCTAAATTCAAAAAAATGAAGAATAGAAAAAAAAATAGTGAACTTGTTCGATGTACTCCATTTAGTCCTATAAATTTAACGCTGTATTTTCTATTATTGATTTAAGGCGACTAGACCGATTTAAAGCAGTATTCGTTTTAACAGATAATTGAGTTTTCTTTTTAAAAAAAGAAAAATAAGAAAAACTCGTCAAACGAATAGTAAAAACGGCAGTGGAGATTATTTTTCTTTTACAAAAAAAAAGTATATGTACATTAGAAGTAAAAATTAAGCCTCTCGAGAAAAATAAAATTTGATTAGTATAATGATTCCACTGAATCGCAATATTTGTTAGGAGAACGATATCTCAACAACGTCTTCAATATATATATATAATATTTTTCTTCAATTCTCTTAAATTTAATCAATCTTTGAAACCAGCCAAGTGAATAAAATAGTGAATAAAATATATTATGAGATTTCAAGCTGTTTTGTACTATTCTATAAAGAGAGCTTCGAGCACTCCGCACAAAAATATTTTTATATTGTTGCGAGGTAGACGCTGGTGGACGTTCATTTTCTTTTCTTTTTTTTTTCTTGATGAGAAATATTTACATATCACGGGGTTCATGTGGGTCGGGAAGTTTCTGCCAGTTTGGTTCGACGCCCCAGATTTCTCGAGCGTATTCCGCAATTGTTCGATCTGATGAAAACTTTCCTGAAGATGCGATATTGTGAATTGCCATTTCTACCCATTTTGTCTCGTCCTGTAAATTGAATGTTGAATTTAATAATGAATTTAATAATGAATTTAATAATTTACTTGACATTTAAAAGGAGTAGCCTTTTTTTCTTACCTGATAGACTTGACTGACACGATCTTGTACTTTGATGTAACTCTCGTAATCAGCAAGAAGGAAGAAGCGATCCCACTTCATGAGAACATCGCCGATGTCTTTGAATTCATCGGGATTATTGGGACTGAAGAATCCACCTTGGATTTGATCGATGCACTGCTTCGCTTCCGGTAGTTTATTGTAGTAATCGTAGGCATTGTAGCCTCTCCTCTTCAAGTCCTCGACTTCATCGACAGTCATGCCGAAGATGAAGATATTGTCGTTGCCCATTTCTTCGGCCATTTCGACATTGGCGCCATCGAGAGTGCCAACTGTGAGTGCGCCGTTCAACATGAATTTCATGTTACCAGTGCCCGAGGCCTCAGTTCCGGCAGTGGAAATTTGTTCACTTAAATCGGCAGCTGGGATAATTTTCTCAGCGAGTGTCACTCGATAATTCTCCAAGAAGATGAATTTCAATTTATCGCCAACAATTGGATCGTTATTGACAACATTCGCAACGCTGCAAATGAGTTTGATGATCTTCTTGGCTAAATGATAACCTGGAGCGGCTTTGCCTCCGATCATCACTGTTCTGGGAACAAATGGTGCCGATGGATTTCTTTTAATTCGATTGTAGAGAGTTATCACGTGCAAGCAGTTGAGAAGTTGTCGTTTGTATTCGTGAATACGTTTCACCTAGAAAATCAAGTTTTTTATATATTTATATAAATATAAAAATAAAATTAATAATTAAAATAATATTCATGAAAATAATTGAATTTTTTGAAGGAATTTTATTAAAAATTTTGAAAATAATGATTTTTTTAAAAGAATGTAATCAAAATTGTTAAAAATAATTGAATTTATATTATAATTCTTTGCGTAGAATTTTATCAATTTTTTTTAAATAATTGAATTTTTTTGGAAAACTTTATTAAAATAATAAATATTAAAAATCATTGAATTCCGGAAAATTTTTGAAAATTGAAATTTTGTCAAGAATTGTATTAAAATTTTTGAAAATAATTGAATTTCAGATAAGAATTTAATTATTTTTAAAGATAATTGAAATCTCGACGAGAATTTTTAAAAATTTTTGAACATAATTGAATGTTTGCGAAGAATTTGATAACTTTTGAAAATAATTGAATTTCTGCAATTTCTCTAAAAATTTTCCAAATTATATTGTACAATTTACGAACTTTTCATCCTTTTTCTATCAAACTACGGACTTTGCGGACCTTTTTTTTTTTAAAAAAACTGACTCTTACGGACTTGAAACAAATTTACGGACCTAGTTCGAGCTCTGAATTGAGCAAGCATTTGTATTTTACCTGGATATCGTAAATGGAAGCCGGATTGATTTTGACACCGTATTCCTTTTCCAGAAGTTCGGCCAAACGGAGTTTGTTTTCCTGTTTAACTTTAACGACACTTCTTTGGAAAGCCGGATCCTTCGCCCATTGTTTTAATTGCTGCAATTGATCCAAGTGAACCGCCCATTCGCTGCCAATTTTCTACAAAAAATAAATAAGAATGTCGATTGTAAGAATATCTTTTTACAAAAATAATAAAGTACCTCCTCGATGATATCGGACAAATTCGGATTGCAAAGCAAAAGCCATCTTCGGGGTGTAATGCCGTTCGTCTTATTCTGGAATTTCTCTGGATTCATCTCGTAGAAGTCGCGGAAGCTGGAAGAATCAAATCATGAGTATTCGCTTGTTAAAATGAAAAATACATTCTCAAGTAGAACTGAAGAAAACTTACACAGTGTCTTTCAGGATCTCGGAGTGAATTCTAGCGACACCGTTGATGGCGTGACTTCCGACGATGGACAAATGGGCCATGTTGACTCTCTTCTCGCCCTCCTCCTCAACCAGGGACATTCGACGCATTCTGTCCAAGTCTCCGGGCCATTTGGCTGCGACTTCTTGCAGATGCAGGAAGTTGATGTGGTAAATAATCTGCAAGTGTCTGGGCAAGATGCACTCGAGCATTGACGTGGGCCATCGCTCCAGAGCCTCCGGAAGAACGGTGTGATTCGTGTAGGCACAGGTTCTCTTTGTTATTTTCCAGGCCTGAAAAGACACTTATTGTTAGTTTTATTCCACTTCTTCCTTCGTGAGATGAAAATCCTAAATTAATTCAGCACAAACCTCGTCCCAACTGAGACCCTCGATATCGATGAGAATCCTCATGAGTTCAGGAATTGCCAACGAAGGATGAGTGTCATTCAACTGGATGGCAACTTTGTCCGGGAAGGCATTGAAATCCGTACGATGATGTTCCCTGGATCCGAATTTGCTCGACTTGTAACGACGAATGATGTCCTGAAGTGTTGCGGCGCACATGAAGTATTCCTGCTTCAGACGCAATTCCTTGCCCTCGAAGAAGTTATCGTTTGGATATAGTACTCTCGAGATATTCTCGGCGAGATTACGATCAATCACGGCCTGAATGTAGTCTCCATCATTAACTGCAATAATCCCAAAAATTTATTTATTTATTTGATTAAAGTTCCTAGGGCTAATGAGTTAATTTCTAATCTAAGCTTAAAAACACTTGCAGACTTCGCACTCGACAATTAAAGTACCCAAATAGTAGCAAAAAGTAAAAAATGAGTAAATACTAGGTTTTAGTAGATGAATGTGAAGCCTGCACTTGGCCTTAAAATTAAGAACTAATTATTCCAACCTACAGAATTTCAAATTAAATTCAATCGGCGATTTGGCGGACCACAGTCTTAGAGTGTTGACCACATTATTTTTGTATCCAGGAATTGGATTATCATAAGGCATGGCGAACACGACCTATAATACAAAAATACTTATCAAGTATCAAGTTTAACGAAAAATTATTTATAATTTCTCATGGAATTTGAAATGGAATCTTTGGAAACGAACCTGCGTGTTTACCCATTTCTTGCCATCGGGAGTATCAATGACATGACCGTAGAAATTAACCGGAAGCATGAATTCGGGACGAGCTTTCTCCCAAGGGTTTCCATATCGGAGCCAATCATCGGGCTCCTCCACCTGTTCTCCATTCTTTATTTTCTGCGCGAAAATTCCGTACTCATAGCGAATACCATATCCGTAAGCTGCCAGACCCAGAGTCGCCATACTGTCCAAAAAGCAGGCAGCTAAACGACCCAAACCTCCGTTTCCAAGACCAGCGTCCTCTTCGAGCTCCTCCAACTCTTCGATGTCGAGACCCATCTTCAGTGGAAATCAAAATCAGGTCAAAATTAAATACAAAAGTCTCTTTTATTTTTTATTTTAAAATGGTATTGCAGATTACGCACCTGGTACATAGCTTCATCGCAGGCTCCCTGAATTCCTAAATTGATCATTGTATTTTGAAGAGATCTTCCCATGTAGTATTCCAAAGAAAGATAGTACACTCTCTGCAAAAAGAAACAATTTTATGAATAAAAACTTTCAATTTTCCATAAATGTGACGCGATCTGAAGCATTTGAAGAAAGGGACTTAAGAAGCAAAAAATTATAGGTTATGTTTGTAATTTTTTAAATGAAAATACAAAAAAAGAATCAACTGTCAATAACAATCATGGATATTTAAGTCTTCATTACAAGTACAGTATTTAATAAACACTAGTTTTAATTTGTAATAAGTAAAAAGAAACTTTCAATTAATAAAAAACTAACACTAATTAATTAAATTTAGAAATCAGTGAAGAATCAGATAAGAATTATTATCTATTTTTATTTTTAAACATTAAAAAAAAACAGAAGTAGAAACCTTTTTGGATTAGTAAAATGTGAGTGTAGTATCAAAAATTTGAATACATTCAAAATGTTCATAAGCAAATAGAAAGATACCCATCAAAATTAAACATTTGCCAAAAATTCTAATGCTTTTAGGAAAGTTTCCAAAACTTTTCTTCTTGGCTTTATAACAAAAAAATATTTTCAATTATTGTTCCTATTATTTCCTGTCATTAACAAAGACCGAAAAATATTGAAAAAATGTATTTTTTATTAGAAAGGAAAATTGTTTCATAACAGTGGAAACGAGTTCATTCATATCAAGGATTAAAAATCAATCGGGGAAAAATGAAAATTAATAATAGAAACATATAATGATAAGATATTTCAAACGATAACGGTTATTAATAACAAAAGCGGACGATTTTAATTATACCGAACACTATACAATCTTAATGATTAAAGATGAATTCAATAACAAGAATTCTAATCATTTTAGTAATTATTATCACCAAGTGTTAATTAATCAATTGTTGAAAATTTGCCAAAATGAACCTCATTTATAATTGTCAACAAAACAAAATTTAGTTACAAAAATGATAGTGTAATATTATAAATTATTTCTTTTCTCTCTTTCTCTTTTGCAGTAAAAGCAGAAAGTAAGGAAAGACGAAAATTACTTTTTTTGAAACTTTTAATACGAATTATTATTTAAAGAAGAAACATTAAACCGGAAGTTAATAGAAGAGTCAAGAAATGAAGTTCAAAAATAATCTTCATCTCTCGACAATTGCGTAATAATTTTCGACACACGTTCGAATTGTGTAACAGTCAATATAATTAAAATTAAACTTTAACAATTATGTAAATAATAATATAACTTTCGTTTTATTTCGATTCGAAATACACTTAATACAGACAAAAGCACTTTATTGTTAAAAATCATTTTTTGGTAAATTAATAACTTAAGACAAAAATTAAAATTTAAAAATAAAACTAATTGTTTATTGTAGACGAAAAAAAATTGCAATATTTTATTCTGAACATAAAAGAGAAGAGAGAGAAATTATCTAACGCCTTCAAATGTGAACTTTGCATTTAACCTTTTTACAATTATAACATATGAGGCAAATAGACAACAAACAGTCAATTTTATATTACTCTCGATTTTTGCAGATTAATCCAGAAATGATATTGACAAAACTTATTGTTTATATTTTCAAACTGACATTTATTAAACATGTTATCTCTTGTTTTTACAGTCTAACGATATTTACAAATCATTTCATTGAATTTGTTGAAAGGAAAGATTAAAAACATAAATATTTTTCTCTGTCTGTCTATATTTATAAAAATCTCGATAAAAATTAAAATATTTTAAAATAAATGAACAGAAAGTCAAAAAAGAAGTAAAATTTAAATTAGAGAAAGTTTTTTTATCTCTAGAAAAATTTGGTAACTTGTCATATCAAATTACATAATTTAAATGTCATTTTATTTTATTTTATTTTATTTTATTTTTTTATGTTGAACAAAAAAGTGTTCTACATTTATTAGTATAAAATGTATAACATTTTTTTTCTAGAATTAGTATTCTTTTGATAAAACAACTTTTTTGGGCAATAATTTTTTCTATTTTTCGTTTTCAAGAAATTGAAGAAAAAGTTCGTTGACACTAAAAGAAAAGAAAAAAAACTCGATTGGCAATCTTCACCTAAAAGAATCACGTGCTAAATAGCAAGAAGCATTATCGTTTTAGACTTAGACAACATCCAGGGCAAGGTTGTGTACCCTTGATATGTGAATTAAAAGAGGTGACGATCCAAGTGCAAAACAAAATTTTTTTTCGACCTACGATTTAAAATTTCATTTTATCCAAGTTCGATACTTGATTTTACAATATAACTTACGAAATTATTGAACAATACAAGGTCAGAATGCCATTCAAGAAAAATTTTCTTTTATAAACAATTCTTGAAATATAATTATGACACTTGTCAAAACCTCGGTCGAAACTCATAGATAAAAATATGTTTTCAAGAAAAAATCTTTTCTGATAAAACACAAAGCTGAAATAACAAACTATTGCAAATACATAGTTCAATTTATATTATTCTCGATTTTTTCTCTACTCTAAACTTGAATTTGTAAAAATGTTTACTAATTTGAATCAGCAAATTTTAGTAGTTTTTTGTTTAAAAAAATTAAATAAGAAGAACTCATTATTTTTTGGACACTCCAAACTGAAAAGTATCAAATTGCAACGAATTTACACCAAAAATGTGGATCAAATCAAAACTTGATCCAAATTTTTGGCATTAATTTGATCTACTTTAGTATCAGTTACCTTCAAGAAAACGAGATGAATAAATAAATAAATTTCTTGAAATGTTTTTTTTTCTATTTCTAAATTTAACCTTTTGAAGCGTGTCGAGAATTTTTTTTGTCCCGTGAAAAAACTTTTTGAAAAAGAAAACGTACTTTTTTTACATAGTACAAAAATAAAAGTTTCCACCTTGTAAGAACTTAATTTTGATGTTGCTAAAAATAAATATTTTTGAGAAATGGTAAAATTAAATTCTTCGAAAAAGAAACCTTGGAAGTAAAATTTTACAGGAAGAGAAAACATATATTAAATTTTTATAAAAGTATTTTACAAATAACTTGAACCAAAGTTTTCAACATTTTGTGAACATTTAATGTTCTAGAAAAAAAAGAAAACTTTTTTTATTATCTTATATAAGTCATTTTTTTAAAACATGAGAAATTTTACAACATTTGGGAATAAAATTTATTAACATGTTTAGGGCCTTCGAACAATTGTAAAAAAGCATTTCTTGACCATGAAACTGATAAAAATTTGAAACATTTGAGAATATAGTTCATAAACATGTTCGTGACTTTTACTTTCGAAGAAATAGTTTAGGAATAGCTGATTGATCTATAAGATAAGAAACAAAATATTTTAGAACATTTGTTAAGATAAAAATGTTTAGGATTCGTTTAGCTTTCGTTTTAGAAACAAAGAAAGTTTTTTAAGTATTTTAAAAAAGTGAAGAATCTATTGTTGCTCTTGTACCAAAAATTATGGAACATTCAACAATTTTTGATTCATGAACATGTTCGAGACTTTCTTTGTTCTATAATGTAAAATAAGTTTCTGAACATTTGTTGATTTTGTATATCGTAAAATTTTATAAATTGCAAATATTCTTCAGTAACATGTTCGGAACATTCCTGAATGAAACATGTTCATGAAACTTGTAAACATTCACTACTTTTTGCGTAGAAAAAAAGAAAATAGAATTAAATTAAATTCCTGCCAGGTGTAAAATTACATTGTCAAAAAAAGAAGTTCTGCGTGGCTGCGCAGAACTTCTTTTTTTGACAATGTAATTTTACATCATGATGCGCGTCAACCTGATCCAAATTTTATGTTAATACATGTTCTGTTTTCAATTTTTTCTTCGATATGTTCGACATAAAAAATGACTTCCAGTCAAATTAATTAGAAAGCATTTCCTTCTAATAAAAGGTAAGTTAAAAAGGGTTATTTTTGAAAACAAGAAAAGACAATTTATTCGAAATGAGAAAAACTTGATAAATTTTTAAGCCGGTCGGACTAAATTATTTAACGTTTCGAGTAAAGAAATTAACTAAATCACTTTGTGTAATACAACCGGCACTTTGATTATGAACTTGTAACAATTAACACAACAATTAATATTATAAAATACAATAATAATGATTAATTAATTACCTTTGGATCTTTTTCGTAATAATATTGCTGTGTACGAATCCATCTCGAGACAAGATTGTCCTTAACACTGTTTGCTAGGGCGAAATAATAATCTCGAGATGTTGCGACATTACGATCCTTGACAAGAGTATAATGCAGATGCCTATTAAATGTCTTCTTAAAATTTCCAACATTCTCAACATCTACAATTCCCCGCACTGAGATTTGCTTCCTCTTCTCATGATCAACATCATTCGCAGACATTTTTTTTTAATTTAAAAAAAAAACAAACAATCCGAGTTTACAATTTATTAAAATGGAAAAAAATACAAATCTACTTTCTATTTCTCTCAAATTTTTGAAGAAAGTCAATACAATATATCTATTTTCACGAAAAATAACGTCGAGGATCGAACGACACTGTAGTCCGTCCACGAATGATACACAAGTGAGATGAAATGTCACCTTGTCTCAAGGTTACAACCATTACGGCTGCGCACTATTATTTCCAAATGCCTCCTCTTTGATTTTTCACTTTAGTGCTGAGAATTTAAATGGCGCCAAAATAAATGGATTTGAACCACGAGACAAAATTCTGGCATAGTTTCAAAAAAAAATTCCTTTCTGAAAGTTGAGAAAAAAAAGGTTAAGTTTTTTGGGAAAAAGAATTTTTTTAATATTTTGATCGTAAAACATTTATTCTAGGTAAGAATTATCACTTACACTACTTAAAAATTTTAAAGGCTTTGTGTTTTACGTTCATTAATGAAAAAACGGAAAATAAAAAATTTTATTTTTAAAAATTGATAGTCGAAAATTCGTAATTTGATGGAAAAAAGACGAAAATCGTAAATTGTAGGTACGATATAATTTGGAGAATTTTATTTAGTAAAAACAATTTTTAATCAGATATTTTTTCGTATTTTTCCAAAATAAGTAGTAAAAACAAGCTTTAGTCAGACTTTGTTTCCTATTTTTCGTACTTTTTTTCAAACTATAAAAAATGATTAAAGAAATTCGATTATTAGCAAAAGTAATAAAATTCTTCGCAAAAATTCAATTACACGTTTAAAATTTTGTTTAAATTCTGAAAATGTAATTTTTCTTAAAAATTTTATTAAAATTCGTCAAAACAATTCATTTATTTAAAAATTTGTTGATATAAAATTCTTTATGAGAATTGAATTTTAAAAAATAATTGAATTTTGAAATTATTTGTTTTGAAAAAGTTTAATTCCGAATTTTTTTTTTGAAATTATTTGAAGTTTTTATTTTCTAATATACATTTAATTGAAGAATTTACGAATAATTGAAATTTCGGAAAATTGAATATTGCAAACAAATGGATTTGAAAATTGTCAAAAAACTTTTTCGATAATTATTAAGAATAATCGATTTAAAGAAGAATTTTAATTAAAAACTCTTGAAAATAATAATTGAACTGAAATGTTTTAAATAATTTTTATAAAATTACAATTACCATATTCTTATAATATAAAATATTGATTTTATCACTGGGCCATCTTTTATAATTTTAATAATTATATTATATAATATAATAAATAATTGCAAGAATAATTTTCTTTTTCAAAAATATTGCACACTGTATGAACGTAGCGTATGATTTAAGCCATATTCCTCTGCGCAGTATATCAAGCGCGCATATTATAATATCGGTCGTCGACTCTCTTCTCTATTCGCGAATTTTAGCCAATTTTTTATACACAACTTTTTTTCTCGCAAGCAGTATCGGTTGATGGCATATTTTTGGCATATTTTTGATCAGAGATTTTTACAAAGTAAATAATTGAAAATGCCTGCAATGTTGGGAATGAGTATGAAGAGTGTAAAAGCTCATCCGTCTGTAAGTAACAGCGACCTAATTAATATTTTAAGCTTCTTTTCTTTATCCTTAAAAAAGAAATGCGAAATAAAACTAATTCATTTTTTTTCTGATAAATTTTTATCATTTTAACTTCGAAATAAATTCCAAGGTCATGTATTTTTATAAAATTTTGAAACTTTAAATTCAAGTTATTTTCATTAGTAGAAATATTATAATAATATTTCCATTGATGAAATTAACTTGAATTTAAAGATTTTTTTATTCTATCGGAATGTTATCAGAAAATTATTTTTAAAAAGTTTTTATTCACTTTCTTTTAGTCGGAAATTAAGATTTATGAATGAAAATAAATTGATGTTTTTAAAAGTCCAGATGGCAATCTGTTCGAGTGAAAAACTTTCCTCAAAACTATTTTTAGATACAGGATTTATTAATAAAAACAAAAAATAAATTTGTTTCATCTTTTTTTTAATGCTTAAGAATAATTTTCTTTTTCAAAATATTAAATATTAATTTAATAATGAATTTTTGACTTCTGTCTTAAACGAGAGTGAGAAGTAAAAAGTTTGTTTCGTTACTACAGTTGATTCCACTTTACGTTTGCATTTTTGCGGGAGGTGCGGCTGTTGTTGGTTACATGTCGAGATGTGCATTAAAAAATCCCGACGTATCATGGGACCTGAAAAATAATCCCGAACCATGGCAAAAATACGAAAACAAAAGATATCAGGTAAATCCATACCTATTTTGAAAGCTGTATTTGGATGTCTAGGTATTTCAATTTTCATCTGAAAATAAATACTTTACTATTTACAGTTTTTGGATCCTGTTGGTGCTAAAGGATGGACTACTCCCAAAAGAATGAATAGCATTTGGGAGTAAAAATTTCGAAGTGAGAAAGAGGATCAATGATAGAAAAACTATTCAAAAAAGAAAGCTAAGCTTTGTTAATCATTGTTTTAAAAACAAAAAAGTTAGCGTAAAGTCTGAAAAAGTAAATAGATTTACTTTACACTTTTATAGCATTTGTCAAAATGATAATCCGTTTGTTACTTCGTATACTCTTTCTATACAAGTAGAAACAAATTTTTTGTATTCAACTACATTTATATTTTCTGTAAATTTATAATCAGAAAATAGGTAATTTACTACGCATTTTTTTTAAAGATGACTCTATCTCTTGATGAGCCTTTGATAAAATTTTACTATCTACATTTGATATGTCTAAAAGATTCCATAATTGTGTTCTAATAAAAGAAATTTGTATCAAAGCAAAATGTGGATTTTATTGTTGACAAAAAAACCAGTATTACTGATGATTATTATTCAGCATGATAAGAGACCTTTTAGTATATAAAATTAGCGTCACAAATAGTATTTACATTAGTTTCGGCTCTCAGTCGATTTTTTCTAATTTTGGGATTTTGCAGTTCATTTTTAGAAGTCAAGAACTAAAAAATCCTAAAGTTAGAGAAAACTAATGTAAATCTAGCGGGGTTCTTTTAAATTTTTTTAAAAATGGCAGCAGTCTCTATATTTTACCATTAAGCAACAATTTCCCTTTTACAATTGTGATCTATGTATATTTCCGAAGAACTTCGAATTAATTTGAGAAATTTTTTTAATTGCAGACGGCGCTGGCAGTCCAAGAGGTTAACACACGGACCAAAACACATAACTGAAAAAGTGACAACTATTCCTGCAAAAAGGAAGGAGTTTTCAGGTGAATTTCTGAGCTATTATGATTCTTAATCACTTTGCAATTAAATAATTGACAAATATTTCATTTATCGGCATTTTCAAGACAAGAATTTAATTTTTGCTTGTGCGCCACAATTTTTGAAGATTTAAAACTAAATCGGACATTTTAAATTTCTTTTTTTACATTAGTTTCGGCTCTCAATCGATTTTTTTAAAAATTTTGTATCAATTAAAAAAGAAGACACAGCTTTATCAGGTTTTTTCACATCAAATTTAAATTTATTTGATTTTGAAAATAATTAAATCTACAAATGACTTTCAAAATTTTTATTAGAGTTTTTATGAATAATTCAATTCTTTTGACAAGTTTTTGAAAATAATTGAATTCCTGAGAAGAATTTTCTTATTTATAAAGATAATTGAAATTTTGACATTAGAATGTGACTCTTCATAAAATTCAATTATTAAATTAAAATACTTTGAAAATTCGATTTGTTAAAAAGCCTTTAATGAAATTCTTTAACAAATTGAATTATTTTCAGTTGAATTTTACAAAATTTCTATTAATTCGATAATTTTTTAAAATTTATTTACCTATTATATTTGAATCAGTGACCAAATTAATTATTTTTAACTAATTAAAATTTAGAGAACAGTATAAATATCTATAAAAATTGAAATAAAAAGCGATTTATTTTAAAACAAATTAAAATAAAACTTTTTTTAATTTGGTTTGGCATAAAATTCCTGGCTTGGCGAATAGGTTTCGACAAAAAGAAGTCGTTGAAAATGTTCTTAATGTCATTTATTTATAAATAAATCGTGCGAATGCAGATGCAATAATGAAAACGTCAAGAAGCGGTATTACAATTTTTTTCTGATTTTCTTAACATTTTTACCACCCTCTCGATAAAAACACGTGATTTGGTAATAATAGTTAGATATTAGGTTACAATATAATATAAAGTTGCATCTTCATCGTATATTTTCTCATTACGACTCAACTTTCATTTACCGATTAAAGTTTTCTATTTATAATTCGACGTCGCTTTTTATATTATATAATTATATAATAATAATTAATAATAATAATAATTTATTATAGATGTATAATTGCAATAATCATTATTATATAATATAATAGCAATATTTCGCAATCAACATCATTTTTAAGAGACAAATACGACAATTTTTCATTTTGTATATTCGCTTTATTTTTATTTTTTTTTTTTATTCTTTTCTTTTTTTATCATATTAAATATCTATTTAAGTTAACAACTAAAACACGAGGGACCGCTGGACATTAGACGACATCTTAATACCTAACAATAAAAAAAAGAAACAACCTCCGTCAAGCGCTTACTCCCTATCGTGTTCCGTTTAAAAATTTTCTCAACTATTTATGAATCTCACTCACTTCTTTTCTGACTATCCGACAATTCTCGCGTTGGCCACAAAACGGAACACCTCGGCGTCCTACATTTAAAAAAAGGGGATGAGTAATGATTTTTTTTTAATGTTATCGATAATTAAGAATTGATGATTTCAAATTGATTAAATGGTCATTTTTTGTTCAATGTACCTTAAATATGCCTTTTTTCGATTTGAGGATTATGAGTATCGTCGAAAGGAGGATGCTGGAGAAGGAATGAATTTTTTTCGGAAAGGAAAGGATTTTGAGTTCATAATGCAAAATCGTTTCCGCAAAATATAAATGATTGCAGACTCTTATAAGTTTACTACAAATATTTTACCGTTTGCTAATTGGCAAAACGGTTTCTTTTTTCTTTAAATTGTACGCTACGTTTTGTTTACTGATTTTTCTTTTTCCGTTTATTTCTTAGAGACATATTTTGATGAAAATATTAGATATCGATCAATTGGATCTTGATTCTCACTCGAGTCAATGTCCTCGTAAGTAAAAATGTTCACAGGATGATGAGTTTAAAGAGTTTGTTGATGGATTTTTTGTTAAATACATTTTATCTGTTTGGGAAAAAATCTTTTTCGCTGGGTGTTTTTTTATTATGTTTATTCTTCCATTCGTTTTTTTAAAAATTACTCGCCGAAACCAACCGCGATGTCTCGTATTCGTTGCCTTCTTCAAACGCACTCTCAGCGATTTTCTTGGTTCGCTGCTAAAAAAGCCATCTCTAGAACACTTTCTTGCTCTCTTCACCCCTCCCTCTCCTCTTCGCTGTCGACGCTTTATTTTTTTATTTTGAAAAAAGCGTTTGCTTATTCCTCCTTCGTAGGCTCAGCCTTCTTGCCCAGAGGAATAGCGGCCTTTACTCTGTAATAATTTCGGGGGAAATTGAATTAGAACTTTTCTCAAAACAGAAGAATAGAATATAGAAGATCTAAACAAAGAAGTGAAAAATATACTCACTTGGTTGTGATGTCGTTAATTTTAGTTTGGACTAAAGCTAAATTTTGGTCGATTTGTGCCTTATTCGTTTCGTAGACTTTCGGCAATGTGAAAAGAGCCACCACTCCTAGAAAAATAAAAAATTAGATTGTTGCAAGACTAGTTAGAACCCGAATGTTTTTTCAAGAAGCAAAGTGTTCTTGAAATGATTACAAGAAATTACAGTTGCCAAAAACGAATATGTGCAAGGTAGTAAAAATTGGCAGTGGATTTTCTTATATAAATATTATATTATCTAACGTACCAATAATTACGAGCGTCATTCCATTGAACCAAGATCCAAGATAGGTTAAACACCATAAAACACCACCGAATTTCAGTGTGTCTACCAAGTCTTCAACCAAGAACAACCTGCGAAGTTCACTAACTGCGGCATTTGCGTTCGCGACAGCAACGTCAGCGACTTCGTGCACCTTCTCAGCTGGTAACTTTAAATCCAGATCTAAAATATTTCTGAAAGAAAAAAATTATATTCGTTAATTATTTTTCTACTACTAGTCGAGTAAAGTTTTTGGAAATTTGAAGCAACTCACTTAAAAGGATGACCATCTGATGTTTTTTGAACTGCCTGCATCACAGCTTTGTAAATACGGAAAGCTACAGTGCCAGTGAGAGTGAGAAGTGATGTATATGCGAGGACGCTGATCAAACTGAAGTAGGCCAGCGATAGAAGCACTCCTAGAATTGCACCAAAGACGATTCCAGACTTTTTGGGATCGCGCCAATAAATGAGAGCAGCCACTAAAAGTTGAAATAAATAATTGCTTCATTAGAGTCATATTTCAGGTACAAATTAAAGGACAGACAGTTGGTTAAAGAAAAATAAAAGGTGGATATTGCTTTAGCAGGTAGTAGGTCCCTAAATCCCGTAAAAGTCAGTAGCTTTGCTCAAAGTACGTAAAAGTCCGTTGTTTTTTAAAAAAAAGGTCCGTAATTTGATTGAGAAAAGACGAAAAGTTCGTAAATTGTACGATATAATTTGGAGAATTTTAGAGAAATTACAAATGATTGCAGAAATTCAATTATTTTCAAATTTTTTTTAAATTCTTGTCAAAATTTCAATTATTTTTAGAAATAATTAAATTCTTTTCCGAAATTCAATTATTTTCAAAAATTTTAATACAATTCTTGGCAAAATTTCAATTATCTTTAGAAATATTAAAATTCTTCTCCAAAATTTAATTATTTTTAAAAAAATTCAATTATTTTCATAAATAATAAAATTTTGTAGGGATTCAATTATTTTCGCAAATAATAAAACTCATTGCAGAGTTTCAATTATTTTTAATATAATGTTAATCGAATTTCCTGAAAAAATTCTTTAAAATTTTCCAAAAATATGCGCGAAATCGCGAAATTCGTTCTACAGGGGAAGTTATGAAGAAAAGTCAAAACTATGCTCAACTCTAACAACACTCCCTTATTCAATAAATTTTCTCAAAAACATTCGATTTAAAAATGGATTTTAGTTAAAAGTTTAGATTTTTAACTAATAATTCTGTGGAATTAATTTTTTTTTGAGAAACTTTAATTGCTGATTTTTTAAAAAAATTAATTTAAAGTTTTTATTTTCTAATATTTATTTAATTGAAGAATTTACGAATAATTGAAATTTCGTAAAATTGAATATTGTAAAAAAATGGATTTGAAAATTGTCAAAGAACTTTTTCGAAAATTATTAAAAATAATCGATTTAAAGAAGAATTTTAGTTTTAAATTCTTGAAAACGATAATTGAATTGATAATTTTATTACTCAGTCTATATTATATAAAACATGAAGAAAACGATGATTCCGAGTCGAAGACTCGGAGTTATCGATATCTTCATGTTTTATAGTTATAAAAAAGTAAGTAAATTGATCAGTTAATTTTACCAAAGATTTAAGTTTTTTCTGTTGAGGATTGTACGCAACTCGGAAAAAAAGGTTTGGGGTTCGGAAAAGTGTGACAATTATTGGGAAAAAAATAAAATAAAAATACCGGAAAAAAAATTTTCCGGTGGGTTCTAAGTCACCAATGGTGTAAATTCTCGGTATATTTGTTGTCACTAAGACATCTTAACAACAAGAATCTAATTTGTATTTACAAAAGAAGGTGGATCATTGAACAGGTGTAAAAAATTTCCATATTCTAGAAAAGTATGAACTGTTTTCCCTTAATTTTGACCTTGTCAGTTACACGGAATGGCGCGTGATCATTATAATTGCCATTTATCGGTCCGAAAATTTAAAAAGCAAAGCACTTCCCACGTACAATTTTAACTACGCCTCAAAAAAACGTATTCATCTATTCAGAATCTTTAATTGTCAGTGATGAGTCAGTGAGATCGAATCATCAAAAATACAGGCAACCTATATGCATTTCTAGATAACATCATCATATTCAATGAACTTGACTACAATGTAGAATGTACGCATGACAAACGGAAACGAAGGTTGCCGGATATAGTATTTCACTTCCGGGTACACGTAAAACACACCGATTATTATTTTTAATTTTTTAAATTAGTTTCAGAACAATTTAAAATTTTGAAAATAAAAGATATTCTACTTTTATTTCACTTCCTAAACGTGAAATCCTTTTTTATCCAAAGTGTGCCTTTCGCTTTTGTCTTTTCCACTAATCATCCTTTTAGATAATTTCACTATTATTATTATTTTTATCATTAATGATTGAAGCTATCGTTCGGCAAAATTTTTATCATTATTTTCTAGAAAAATTATAATTCCCGGGGAATAAAACTGAATACATTGATTTATTATTTTTGACTTGATGAATTTAAATAACTTAAGACCTGCTTTATCTGTTCCTGGCTTGTCACGAAAGCGCAACGTAAGAGACAAGTTTCTGACAAAAGAATTTAATAAACTAGTTTCGATCGAATCAGCAAAAAAAATTAAAATCTTAGCTAAATTTACTTTTTTCCCCAATCTAAAATTTATTAATAATCATCATCAAAAAAAAGTAAATCTATGACAATACGACCAAATGGCAAATAAGATAAGTTTCCTACAATAAATTATCTTTATCAAATGATTCGAATTTTTTCTAAATTTACACACCTAATCGGAAATTTAATCAAAAACTAAACATGCTTTAGTTCAAAAAAATATTTTAAAAAACTATTTAAAAAATAATGTTGGAAAATAAAAAACAATTTTTTTCTATTGCAATTCATTCTTTTCTCAAAATTCTTTTGTCAAGAAATTCATTGTTGAATTTTTAGTAAAATAGTTTCAGCTTTGCATTTTGTGCAACAGTAAGTGAGAGTTAACACTGAACTATGAAAGAGACAAGGCCAGGCGTCATCCTTGTGCGGACGATACGATACTTCTCAAGTGCATTTCGTTTCTCCTTCTCTCTCTCTATTCAACGAGAAATCTTCTCTACTCTTAATTTCAACGCTTTTACTGTCAATAACCCGTGTAACTGTTACGAAACTCAAAACACTTTTTTATTACTAAACGATAAAAAAACGATGAAAAATAATAATTTTCACGTTTACTATCAAAATTTAAAGAAATGGAAATCCTTTTTTTCAAATAGGTCATCTTTTTCTTTTTTTGATTCAAAATATTCACTTTTTTATCTAAATTCCTCTTTCCTTTCAAATATATTCAAATCTGATAACTAGGACAAAAATTTAAATTATTAAATAAGAACTTTCTTTTTAGAAAAGCAATCTCTTTTTTTGATAGTAGCATTAAAAGGACTCGTAGTTTTCTTTAAAGTATCAAATTGATACTGAAGTGGATCAAATTGATGCCAAAAATTTGGATTGATTTTAAGTTAACAACAGTGCTATTTAATGATTTTTTACATTTCACTATGTTAACAAAAAATTTTCGTAGGTTCGTCGAGCTAGCAGATTTAGGGCTTTAGGCACAAAAATTGTAGACGAATGAACTTGAAAAAAAAATTCTTTTCTAATTTTTCGTTTTTAAAACCGTTTTGGACTTCTGCCTCATTTCTGTACAGCATTAATATTAAACTTTGGAACATTTTCTTTAGAAAAAAACTCAAATAATAGTATCAGTTCCTAGGTTTCATTTTCTAGCAATATGAGCAGTTTAGAAAAGTTTTGTTAATTTTTAAAAAAATAATATAACAGTTGCAAGAGGGACTACAGCATCTCTTTTTGATTCTCTCCCTTAAATAATGGGTTAAATTGTATTTATTATTTAAAAAAAAAATTATACTTCTTAGCTGACAACGTGTAAGAATGAAGTAAAAAAGATTTACTCAACGTCAGTATTCATAGCACAAAGTTGCTTTTTGATCAACCAATGCCGATGAACGAATACCGAATGTTACGCAAAAGTGTAAAATTACACCCCATCAAAAACTCTACTGTTTCACATATATTTTTACAAATATTTACAAAATCACACAACATCTGGACCTAGTCTATCATTCACTGGAATTTGAGAACTTAGAATTTAGAGAGAAAATAAATAAAAATGGAATCAGAACAAGTTCTGTACATTTTTAATTTATAATTTAAAAATAAAATTTCATTCGATGATTCGAAGGTAGTTTAAAATGTTTTGCAAAGCGATAAATATGAATAAAAGACTACAATTGAGATAATTGAAATTATCTGGAAGAACTTTGGAAGATATCTGGGTAAAATTTCGTACAACAGATGCTAATAATCTTTAGGAATGACCTTTCGGGTCACAGGAGATATTTTATCGGAATCATTAAAATTACTCCTGGAGTATATTTATAACTGCTCACGATATTACAAATAAAAGGATTGAGGAATGAACTTTCCATTCAACTATTTAGCTCCAAATTATAAGACAGCATATTTGCATAATAGTACACGTATCACGAATAGAACCCATTTAAAAAAAATACCTAATAACAATATGGTAAGTGAAAGAATTGAAAAAATGCAGAAATAAAAGAAGCAAGAAGTTGAAAAATCAGCAAAAATATTCATTGGAGAGAGAGCGAAACTTTGTGTGCAATTCGAAATGTTGTTGCTCACCACGTGTACATCCGTTAACCATATGTTCCACATGGAAGATTGGCATTGCCGAACAACGGTATTTTCATTAAAACTGATTAAAACTTTGAAGGTGCAAGACTTGTTTTTAACAGAAAATCAAACTCACCAGGTCCTCTCTCAGGTAACTCTTCGACAAAGTGTCGTGGATTATTTCTTCGCACCATGTTTCTTTTTGTGTGAAAAAATTTCTCTAGTTTTTGATACTGCTGATCATAAACACAGAGTTTGTCGTTGCTCTCGTCGAGTTAAGGAACGCACGACTAACCTGACTGGTGAATTTAAGAGTGCCTCCAACTCCACAACTACTTGGAGGGCAGGTTTCGTGAGAAAGTGAATATGTGTGAGTGGACGTTGCTTGATATTTTCGTATTGGTGCGCAAGTGGATTTAAAAGGAACTTGTGTGGGTGTGCGTGTCACACACACACACACACACTCCAGAGAGAAGAATAAAGAAAGAGAGTTGTGTGGAGAATAACGAAAGGAGAGAAAAGAAAAACTGGAAGGGACCAGACGCAACGTAGAAAACGTGGAAGAAATCTCTTCGAGGAGACATTTAAACACGTTCAAGGTGGCAGCACCTTACAGAAAACGTGTTTGTTGTATTGTTTCTTGAAAACTTTTTAAATTCCTAATTGCATACAAATTTAGGGCTGACAATGAATTTTCGTTTCTTTTTTTCTTACTGTGACAAAATGTTCACTTTTTCCCTGAATTCTATTTAAA